TGAGTGAGAAAGGGCTCCCAAATTCCAGTACATGGCCTATCACTTCAGAGCAGAGAGGACAACTGAGTGAGAAAGGGCTCCCAAATTCCAGTACATGGCCTATCACTTCAGAGCAGAGAGGACAACTGAGTGAGTTCTTCACTCCCTTCTACTTCTGCACTCTCAGACAGTCCAGGATCTCTTCACTAGGGAATGAGGCTGCTCATAATGAGCTGGGTCTTCCCACATCAATTGATGTGGGAAGCCCTCACCCACAAACACTTACAGGCCAACACAATGTAAAAACAAACAAAAACCTTCATTGAGAATATTTGTCCAGATGATCCTAGGTTGTATAAGTTAATAGTTAAAGTTAACAATCACAGTGAGTAAATAGATTTCTCTTGAATAGGTCATTAGACAAATGAATAGATGATTCAGTCACATTTTATTCATTCTTTTAAAACACAGAAATAATAGACTAGCAGTAGTATGGATGGTTCTAGATGGCATTATTATAAATTAAATGAGTCAGGTGAAAAAGAAATACACTAAATGGGAGGTATAACTCAATTAGCTGGGTATTACCTAGCATGTATGAAGCCCTGTGTCCCATCCTTAGTTTTCCATAAAGTAGGTGTGGTAATACATATCTCTCATCACAGGTGTCTGGGGCTAGAGGCAGGAGGATCTGAATTTAAGGTTAAAACAGTAGCTCAGTTGGAAGAGTGCTTTCCAAGCTTGCAGAAATCACTGGGTTCAGGACTCAGAAGCATATAAACGAGATGTGGTGGCAGCAGGAATATTCAAAAGTCATGGTCAATCTCAAGTACACATGGAAGATAGCCTGCAGTATAGGAGACCATCTTAAAATACTAATAACGCTAAAGTAAAATGAAAATATCTTTAATTACCAAGATGTTGATAAAATATAATTAATTTTTTTTTCTCAAAAGTGTGTCTACAAAAAAATAAAAACCTTAAACAAAGTATCACTCAACTCTAGCAATGTAATTAGAACATGATAAATGTTGAGATTGGCCTGCTCTTTAATTACCTCCCCCTGAGGGGGAAGCAACATTACCAGGCCACAGAAGAAGACAAGGCAGCCACTCCTGATGAGACCTAATTGACTAGGATCAGAAGGAAGGAAAAGAAGACCTCCCCTATCAGTGGACTTGGGGAGGTGCATGCATGAAGAGGGTGGAGGAAGGGTGGGATTGGGATGGGAGGAAGGAGGGAACCAGAGGGGGGATACAAAGTGAATAAAGTGTAATTAATAAAGAATAAATTTAAAAAAAAGTATTTCTATAACATGCTGGGATTTATGGAGTATGTTTATAATCCCAGCACTCAGGAGACAGAGGCCAGAGAAACACAAGCTTTGGGTCACTTTATAAACCTCATGGAACCTAAGGACCAGTCTAGATACAATTTTCAACCACCTGGGAAAAAATTATTCTTCAACTGTTTTAAAAGGATACTTGAGAATCCAAAGTGACAGAGTATCAATCTTATGGAAGAAAGTATGGACTGTAATTTAGGGCTTAAATATGAAATTGTCGCCGCAGGCTCACATGTCTGAACTTTGTTTCCAGTGGGTGGTGATGTTTGAGAAAGTGTGTGAAATCTTCAGTAGCTAGAGGATTGATAGCCCAGTCCCACTCTGTTTGCTCTCTGCCTCCTGGGTGTGGATGAAATGTGAACAGCCTGTGCCCTGCTCCTGTCCCATGCCTTGCCAGCTACAATTGATTATATCCCTCAGACTATCATCTGCAATGAACTATTTATAAGATAAATCTTTTCTTGTCAGACATTTGATCACAGAAGCAGGATAACAGAATAATACAATTCTGTTATACTGAATAAGCTAGATAATCAGCAATCACAGAAAAAATATGGAACTTCATTAAAATAAAAAATTCATCAGGAACTGTTATAAAAATGGCTAACAAAACCATAGATGATAAAGCTGTTTTCTGAAATGCATCACACACAAATAAATACCACAGTAAATACAACATAACAGTACAAAAAACAAACAACTGAGACAACAAAATATATGAAAGGACACAAGAGAAAAATAATAAATGCATGAAAGGTATTTGACCTTATTAGATATTAGAGAAATGTAGATTACAATCTCAATGAGATAATAATACATATCAGGAGATGGGCTAAATTAATACAGTAATACAAAGCCAAACAAAATTTGTGAATGAGGGGGCAAAACATTAAGATTTATATTCTTTTCAGGTAAAACTGAAAATGATTTAATTCCATTAATACATATTTTGAAGATCAACTGAAATTAAACAAAAATGTACGCATGGCAAATATAATAAAATATTTTAGTACAGGACACCCATATGTATGCCTGCTTGGTTGTTCCATTACCATTTGCATAAAAGTGAAATAATATGTTTACAAAAGGATTTGTAGGAAAAAGAAGTCATTAGCAATATTTTACTCACAGTAGCTAAAAGTTATCAGTAGGATTCAGTCCATTAACAAGGAATGGATAAAAAAATAGTTATATTAATCTATGTGATTGAATTTAAAAAGAAGCAGTTATATGGGTTGGGGAGATGGCTCTGTTAGTAAAGGCTGGCTATGCCCACATGAGGACCTGAATTCAGATCCCTAGAAATCTCATAAGGCTGGACACTATAGTAGGTATCTATAATCCCATCCCTCCTTATCAAACTGGGAAGGGGACACTGAGAATACCTTGAAACTCACCGGCCAGGAAGCCTGGCATGGGCAGTAGCAAACAAGAGACTTTGACTTAAGTAAGGTGGAAGGCAAAGACAGCTACCTGATGTTGTCCTCTGACTTCCAAACTTGTGCCATGGCACACTACACCTAATGTCACACACACGCTCTCCATAAAGTTTTCTTTTCTAAGAACAGAAATAGGATGCTGGCACCATTAAAACAGGAGAGGGATAAATCTCAAAAGTGTGGCTTAGAAGAAGTCTGACAACATCAAGTGATGTGTGGTTTAATTCTCCGGCTCCCTACAATGACACAAACCCCTGTGTAAAAAAAGGATGGGAAGAAGGTCCTTTTGCAGCCACTGCAGGAGCTGGTAGACAGGGGGGAACTGGAGTCTCCATATCTTGATGCATAAATAAATAAGATTGTCAAAGCTCTTAAAGTTAAGCACTCCTGGTCTGCTCATTTCACTTTATGTGAACAATATAGAAACACACTTCTTAAATAGTTTTTTAGAGGAGAATTAAATGGGCAGCAGTTTGTCATTGCATAGCTTAAGTATGGGAATTGAATATTTGAAGCTAGCATCACTTATTGGATGTTAGTGATGCTTTTCATGTTACATTTGTATCATTAGTAACATCCTCCTGGCCACTACGTTCCATCTCTTTATATTATAGATTGACTGGACTTCCTGTGGTGTTATTCAACTGACAAGGAAGTCCTTTTAAACTTGAGCTGGATAGACATGCTGGTGTTCTTCACTGCTTTCCTAGCAGGTGGGAGACAAAAATGGATTACCCAGAGAATCCTGTTAGCTCCTCTATGTAAGGAAAAAAAAAAAATCTAAACATTTTTACTACATGGCCATAAGGATAAGTTAAAATGCTACACATGCTTGGTCTGTCAGTATGTTTACTTAAAACATTATTAAGATTCTGGCAATTTTATGCTGTGTCTCAGTTAAAAGTTTCAATTTCTGGAAATTTATATTGTATGACAAATTACAGCACATAAGAATTTAGTTCTGGAGTCTTAAGAAAACCAGCGTGACACTGATAAGCAGTTTTCATCAATATTTTATATCTTGGATAGAAACAATGGCTGTTGCTTCAATGACTGGAGATTTAAGGAATCATTTCTTTAGATGTTTTCTCATGTGTGCATGGAGCCATATGTAGTGAACTACTTGAAAAACATGCTTGAAAAAAAAAGTGACAGGAACCAGAATTCTGGCAGAGTAGTTACAAGCTGCTCTTTCAGAGTACCAGAGTTCAGTTCCCAGCACCCATGTTAGGAGACTCACAAGCAGGGAAGGCCAGCTCCAAGGATCTGATGCTGTTTTCTGGACTTTCAGAGCAACATATTCACACAGAGATAAAAGAAATATACACTTGGTTAATAATAAATCTTTTAAAAGAAAGGGATTAATTGTAAAATATATAATAATAATAATATATCTTTGGAATGAACAAGTGATATGAAAATAATATGAACCATTTAAAGTGAGACCTTCCTTATATATTGAAGACCAATGCACAGTGTGTTTAGTTTTCTTAAACTGATGATCTTTTAAAAATATGTTTGTATTTTTCAAAACATAAGCTTCGTGTCATGATAAAACAACATTATTTCTAAAATATTTTATCAACTTAACTTGAGATTAATTGGTCAAGTTTGGCTTTTGCAATGATTTTGGTTGTGACCATTTTCAAGATATTCCAAAGAAAAATCAAATCTGACATGTCAAAGGTTTGATATTTTTTTTCTCTAAGACTGAATGACTACTAATGAGGAAAAATGGTTATGACTAAAAGTGAATTAAATACAAGATTTTCAGTTTTTTTTTTTTAATTTTATTGCTGGCTGTTTGCCCAGGTCTGCTGGAGACTTAATTTTCTTTCCAGGTGATGTCTACAAGTGAGAAAAACAGGGTCTGGTGGCTCACTGAATTCTGAAGGATGTGACAAAACAGAAATAGAGACTAACCTAGCATTTCTCCCACCCTGGGGATGTGCCCTTGCCAAACTACTGCATAATTACTCTTCATGCATTTCAAATCAATATTGCCAATGCGATGGGCCTCTGAAGGTGTTTTTCTAGTTGAAGAGAGGGTAAAGTCTGAAGAGAAGATTGTAAGGTTACATGGATGAATGTTCGTATTGGTCGTAGATGCTTCATGAGTTAATTTCTGTTTCAGAAATATGAGATGACATCCGACACCTGGCTCTCTAAACAGGTATAGTATGGGTGACCTGTGTCGCCTGTGAGTCATTATGAACATTTCCCTAACCTGTTAGTTACATACTTTCTCTAAAATATAGTTATTTGAATGGTTTGGGAAGATGGCTTATGGATTAGAAGAGTTCATATTGCAAGCACGAGGTCCAAAATGGATTCCAAGAATCCATGTAAATGCCCAGTGGGTATGGAAGCCAGTAGGTGATGAAGGCAGAGACATGTTTCCCTAGAGCGAGCTGGCTGGTGAGATGAGCTGCAGGGGTGTGCTCTGGATTTGACTGAGAGACTGGCACAATGACAAATATCCAAGAGTCACTGGGGACGATTCCCAAAGTGAATCCCAGCCCTTCACTTGCACATTAATGCAGCAGCATTCACCCACAGAACATGTTCCCATAGTCGTATATATATATATGTGTGTGTGTGTGTGTGTGTGTGATTGTGCATGTATCTATATGTTATATATACACATAACACATATGCACATACCACAAATACACACCATTTTGATGACTTCCTGCACCTGTTTGCATTTTTCTATATTTTATTCAATTCCTTCACCTGTTTGAACTTTCCTCTGATTCTTTCATTTCTTTCAATGCTTTAATTATTTCCTCTTTAAAGGCCATTGTTTCTTCCTATATTTCTTTACAGATTTTATTCATTTTCTCCATTCTCATCTTCACAAGCATAGATTTAAGGTCATTTTCTTCGGTTTCACTTATGTTAGGGTACCCAGGGCTGCTTGCCCTTGGATGACTGGGTTCTAGAGACGCTGTATTGCTTTGGGTTTTGTTAATTGTGTTTTTATGGGCTTTACCCATCTGGTGTCTCAGGTGTTGGCTAGTAGTTTCTTGTGCCCGCTGTAGTCCAGGTGGGAAGGGGTAGTGCGGGAAATCGCCTGGGCAGGCTGGATGCTCCTACAGTTGCCACTCAGATTGGTGGGTATGGTCTCCGATTGGTGGGTAGTTCTCAGGGAACTAATTGCCTGGGCTCTCCTCAGGTGTATGATCCTGTGGGCTAACTGGACTCCTCAGAAGCCCAGGGACTCTGCTCTCAACAGGGGAAATCCTGGTGACAGCTGCCCTGCCCCTGGCAAGTTAATGAGTTGCAGCTGCCCAGGCACTCTGTGTTAGCTGGGCACAGCCATCTTGAAAAACCAGTGAGCCCAGAGGTTTGGTCCTTTCCCTAGAAATATAGGTTGAGCTTTGGAGAGGTGTTTGGGGTTGTTCAGGTGACTCCCAGGTGTCCGGAGGCCTGAGGTTGGAGTTCTGTGCCCCAGTACCCAGAAAGTAATCAGTGGCTGGTGAGCCAGCACACAGAAGACCCTGTACCTGTGGGGACTCAGGAACTTTTCTGGGGATTAGCTTGGTTACCTGAGCTCACACCCAATTGTTTCCCTCACAATGGAGTTTCCTCTCAACTGGCCTCTGGTGTTTGGGGGACCCACAGTTCAGTTTGTGAAGGTGAACACAGTGCTCAGGCTTGCGGTTAGGTGCTGGAGGCCAAGTGCCTGCAGGAATCCAGAAAGTTTTCTAGGGATTAGCTAGGTGACCTGAGGTTGAACCAGAGTGTTTCCCTCACCCTGGGGTTTCCTCTCACCTGGGGAATGCAGTGGCAAGTGTTTTGGGGCCCACAGTTCTGTCTGTTGGTCGCTGTTCAGTCACTGCATACTATCAGCCTCATGTATATTGTTTCCTTAAGTGCCATGTACACCCTTTGTTTTCCCCAACATATTGAAACTTCTAAACTTTAGCTTCAGGCATTTCAGTGAGTTCTGAAGCAACAAGTTCGGATTTCTCATCTCCTAATGTATGAAAGCACCCACACACACCCCTTGTGCAGAGAACACATTTCTCGTTTATCTAGCCACCTTTTTAAATAGTAATTGACCAGCTAGCTATTGACCAATCTTCCTATATCTATTTGCTGCCTCACCTGTAAATACAGTTCATCATTACAGTTTTGAAGTTTACTTTTCCTGGCTTCTGTTAGTTCTATTAGGCGACTGTGTATAACACAGTCCCTCCCAAACTGACAAACTCTCAACCTTTCATTCTCCTGACACTCTCTTCACCCATAGGTTGGTTGAATGAATGTCCCAAAACATACTCTTGGATGTCAACCTCACCCTCTGTTCCGATCCTGCAATGGAAACATCTCTGTACGTTCCTGCTGGCCTTTACATCAAGGCCAGCGCTCGTGGATGGTCCCCAGAAGTTGAAGTTGAAAATCATCACAGTCCTACAGCATACTGCTCTAACAATCATCTTCATCATCCTATTGTCATTACTCTCCAATATAGAGTGTGTTCACATGTCCCCTTCTTGGGAACAAAATTCTCTCAAAAAGTTTCTTGTCCAAGGCCTATGTAGTTTTCAAACTTAATCATAAACCACCTATTAAACCACACCCTCCTGCAACCCTAACCAGACAACAGCTCCCAGGAGAATTATTTTAAAGTCACATGTAATTTTTATGTGATAAAGTCTGTGTCTCTATCATCAACAAACAACAGAAAGGATTTTCTCTGCTCTCCCCATTGAAATAGATGCCTACTAAAGTATGACACGCAAGAACACTGCCATCCATATTTTTTGGCTGAAAAAGAGAAGGTACAAAGATGATACAAAGTAGACATACAGACAGCTGTACACAAAGAGACAGAGGAAAATATTTCATTGTGCTCTGTATATGCATATACTTACTATTATTATGCAAAATGAAATGGAAATAAACATAATATATAACTAACAATATGTTCTAATTCAATTAAGTTAGACACTAAAAAGGAAACCAATAGAAATTAAGAACCTGATGGATATTGATGCCCTCTGAATTACTCTTCTTATAGGCATTGTTCTGTCAATTTTAGGAACCACAATGTTTCCTAATAGAAACAACAGGCATGGCTATATTGAATCCAAATTTATAAATATCGAATAGAAATCATCTGCTAACAACAAAACACCTAGTTATCAATTATTCATTAAGAAAGTACATTTGGTGGTCTATCAGAGCTGGGTTTATTTATTTATTTATTTATTTATTTATTTATTTATTTGCTTTCAATATGACTATGGGAATCTTACTGACTGCTTAGACTTTCATGAAATGGAGAGCTGAGTATGGTAATGAATGGAAGCACATTTCTAAGATGATTAGGACTTTAGCAGCAGCATAAACTCACGTTCAGGAGTGTTGAACAGAAAGTAGGAAATGGACATGGTTGGCCTAACTTCCAAGGGGCTGGGAGGCAGGGTGGCAAGTATGTGACACACCTGGAAGTTTACAGAGTCATGCCTCAGGGCCAGCACCTGTTTCTCAGAAGAACTGTCATGGAGGATGTTCCACGTGTGAAATCCAAGGAGAGAGCAGGGCTCACTGGGTCATGTGTTTTATGTTTTGATTATGTGTTGAGTTATGCAGATTTGCTCACCTTTTCCTTATATGTTACTTTTGAGTTTTCAACTTACTACATACATTATCATATATTTTCATGACTATCACCAAGTGAACAATGAAAGTTACCTTGACTTTGCAAATTGTTGACATTGTTACTAATATTCTTCCCAGATGCTGGGGATGTGTCAGTGAAGACTGTAATCTCATTGTCTCATGTTATACATGTTACAGAGGAGTGCTACTACTCATGAGTCACACGCCCATCACCAGATGCACACATTCTCAGTTAATGTACAAAGTGGTGTAAAAAATAGAAGGTAAAACAATAAAGGCCTTTGAGAGCAGCAGCTTTCCTGTGATAATCATGACTAAGGTGACAAGAGAGCTGAAATATACAGACATAAGAGGCAGAGCTAGACAGAGATAAGAAAATTATGAAGGCCATGGTGAAATACAAGCTCAGACTCAGGGAGAGTGTAAGAAGAAAGGAAAAGTTCATGATAGCATTTGAACCATTTGCAAAAAAGTAGGACATTTCAAAGTCTTAAAACAGTAGCTGGAGAAATGGTTCAGTGGTTAGAGCATGAACTGCTCTTGCAGAGGACCATAGTTTAGTTTCCCAAAAACTCACTACCACCTGTAACTCCAGCTCCAGGGAATTACATTTCTTTGCTCTGCACAGACACTGCACACAAGTATAATTTAAAACAAAAAATAAATAAATAAATAAATAAATTTGTAAATCTTACAAAGGAAACCATACCACATTTAGAACTATTCTTTAATTATGCAGAAAGGAATGTGGTGT